ATTTTTTGTATCTATTAACAAAATTTTACTCCAAGATTTAAATTCTATAACCGATTCAAGCTTATGTGAGTTTTTTCAAAATGAGCAATAAAGAATTATGCAAAAAAGAGCTCAACAACAAGGTCAAAGATCTTAAAATAACTCTGGTTCTTTTCAATATTTTGATGATCTTACTGGATCCGTAACTAATCTATCGGAATATTAAATTGTTATTTTAGTTTATGTTGTATTTTCTTTTAATTTTAGTGTTTTTAAATTAGTGTTAATTTTTGTTTTGAGTTATTGTAGTTTAATATTTGCATTGAATAAAATTCTATTTTTAACTTTTCATCATTTTTTGAATTATATCATTATTATGAATTTATTATTATAAATAATAATCAAATTAAATTAAATACAAATAATCAAATTTGGTGTGATTTTTGGTGTAAAATTTAATACTCAAATTAACTTAACAAAATTAAAAAAAAAAAACAAAAAGAAAACAAAATTAAAAAAAGAAAAAAAAATTATTGGCGTTACAGTGCCACGCCATTTTGGTGTGGCGCTTTGGCGTGGGTTGGAGATGCCCTTAGTTCAAAGAAAATTTGGTATTCCATAAATAATTGAGGATTAATGGAAGAGATAACATCACTAACATTCTTATTTTTTTTTTCATTATTATTACAAAAGATAATCAGATAATATATTAAGAGGCCAAGTATATATTAGAAGTTCAACTTTTTTTTTTTTTTTAACTGAGAGTGTTTAGGCCAGCTTACAATATCTCAATTATTCCCTCAAGACCCTAAAACTACTGGCCGGATCAAAGCTCCAATGGATATCTCTATTATCAACCGATGAGAGATTTTAACTTAAGACCTTTTGAATAATAAACCCAATAATCCCTATCAAACATCTTTAGTACATACACAAAGATTTGCATATTAATTAATTATGTAGTAACACTAGAAATTAAAAAACAATGGGTCGCATTGACATGATATTATTGTTTAATTTAGAGAACTTTTCCTAGATTACATAATCACATATTCCACATTAAAATCATTAATTAATATCAAATTATTTGAGATGCAAAAAAGCGATTGAAGATGTCCAATAGAGACTCTTGGACGCATTACTCAAGAGATCCTAAGTTCGAGTCCCTTCTCGATTGCCAATAAAAGAAACCATTGAAAATCTTACCCGACCAATAGTTCTAAGGTCCTAGAAAATTAGTTGAGGTGCGTGTAAGCTGACCCAGACACCCCGGTCATTAAAAAAAAAAAAACTGAAAATATTTTATTGAGGAATAAACATATTTCTTTGGATTTATCATGATTCCATTCCATATTAAGATATATTAGATATTTCTTATACAAAGAAAAAAAGAAAGAAACTTTTTATAAACAATGAATATATTTATTAAGAATGATATCACAATCACATATAAATTAGCGATAGGTATTCCTTACTTAAAAGATGAAAAAAAAAAAACAAAGCTTAAAGTTCAAAATTAATTAGAATGTAACATGCAATTGTCTGCTGATGTGATATGGTAAATGAATCTTCTTAATTGATTACAATTAAACTGTATTAAAAAAAAAAGATTTAGACATTAGGTTTGCATATAATTAACTTCCAAGTAATGCCAACTTCATTGGCTGTTTTTTTTGTGGAGATCATTGCTCTAGGATTTGCAAGATAAGATAGATTTATTATAGAAAAATGATTTTGATTGAACATGTCCTTGTCTCCATCTGTTGAAGAATTAAAACTCCAATTTAGCTTTAATAATACAATAAAATACAACCCCATTTAGAAGAAAACAACATATTATGATCACCATGATTTCCGATATCGGTTGGGCACAACCACAAGCCACAAAAGAATCTTACCTATAAGTTTCTCTTGGCAGCTATATGAAATCAACTAAAAAAATCACTCTGAGATTTTTTTTTTATTTTTTTTTTAGGCACAATGATACATCACTGTTTTGTTTCAACTTGTGAGAAGATTTTTAGTTGATTAGAGTTTCAATTAAGTGGAATTAGGCATGTTTAAAATGGCTAATTTATCACCATCGTACCTGTAACATGATGGATAACCTAGTCTAGCTAAAAGACAGATGAACGTAAGAAGAAATTAAAACTTTTTTGGCTACAAATTTGGCGCATATAGAAATTTAATGTGCAGGTTGCTAATTAAACATATAATTAGAGAGATTAAATATTTATTAATGAGTTGAGATGGAACATTCACGTGGTCTTGGGTCGGCTGCCTTTGTCCCATTTTTTTCCTTGATAACCGTGTTTAGTCTTTTCCTTTCATTTCACTTTTTCTATATTTGATTCTACAATAGTTTTCTTTATTGATGAAATTAAATTCAACAAATTAGTTCACAGATTCTTTATATGTAAATTAGATCAGTGACTTGAATGAAAATACTTTTTTCTTTTTCTTTTTTTCATCTTTTGGGTGTTTGGGTCAGCTTGCATGCATCTCAATTAATTCACAAAGCCTTGGAACTGTCAACCAAGTAAGAGTCTCAATTAGGGGTGAAAATGAAACCGAGCCGCTCGTGCTCGGCTCGGCTTTGGCTTGAATTCGACTTACAATTAGTTGAGTCAAGTTCGAGTTCGAGTAACTTGAATAATCCCACGAGTCGAGTTCGATCATTGTATAAAAAGCTCGAAAAACTCGACTAAAACTTGATTAACCCAGCTCGAATTTGACTTTTAGGTACTGAGTTCGAGTCTGAACTCGATTCATCATGCTCGAACCCAATACTGTAACAACTTAGTCAAGTTTGAGTACCCAGATACTCAACTCGATCTCACCCCTAGTCCTAGTGGTCACCCTTATAAATACCTAGAGGGACTCAAACTCATGAACTCATACAAAACTTGAATGAATATACTTTAAATGATTAACAAGATAATTTCTTTTGTAAAGATTAAGGGAAATTGAATGAAGGTAAATTTGGCCTTTTCCAATATGGGATTGTTTATTTAATAAACTAAGAAGAAATTAGTTCCCCCTAAATTAAAACTCGGAGTTATGTGGATGAATAAATAGAAAATTTTATTGAATAAAATAACAACCTTTTAAATAGCTAGATATTTTAATTCAACAAGAAATTAACTAAAAGATGATGCAATTTACACATTCAGAAATTATTACAGAATCTTTCTTCAACACAAAAGCATTATGAATGCAGGAAATATTCCTTAAATAGAAATTCAAAATGCCTAAATTATGAAAAATCTGACCGAATTTAAATGAAATGATCAAAGACAGTTTGCAGAGATGATATTAGTGAAAGAAAAGAGAAGAAAATTAAATATTATTCCTTGAAATAGATCCTCCAGTGTCGTCATCCTCTCTAAAAGCTGCAAACCATTCTTCCGCACCATTATTGCTCTGCAAACTGGACTCTATACATTAAAAGGAATGGTCTTATTTCCCAATCATATTCTTAATAAACGAAGATTATCCTGCTAAATTTAGATAATTAACTGGTTGATTTGCAATTATATATATATGAAAGAAACGAAAGGGAAAACCCTTTGGTATTTTTCTAGTCTTATCTTTTCATATAAATAGATATAACTCGTTCACAGCCATGAATCATGATAGAGAGTAGGAGTTGCAGCTTTTCTCTGAAGGTGATCACATGCAAGCATTTGATGATGAGAAGATATCTATCATCAACAGTGAACATGCAGAAGCCAAATAACCTTTGAGGACAGAAGAGGACAAATTTCCGTTGCCCCCAAAAATGAGTTTGACCCATGAGATTGTAACACAAAAATAAAATAATTGATGATCTTCACAATCACAGACTTCTCTGTTCAAACCTAGCGTTGTCAGTAAACAGCTGAACAAACAACTTAGGTTTTCTAGGTTATTTTGTTTGATGCATTGATTTGCTCTCTTAGGCATGTGGTTTGTGGTAATATGAATGGGTAGGTAGCTCCCCCGAAAGCCTAAACAACTCATGTTTCTTTGTGCAGAAATCATGCACCAGGTCCTCCTTTGTTTATGATTTTCAGATATATTTTTGTCTAGGTGAGCCCATTTTTTAAAAGCCAAGAAGTACGGTTTTTTTATTTATTTCATCTCTATATATGTATATATTATACATATATGCTAGGTTCTTTGTTGTCTCACCATGTAGGGTATGAAAAGATTTTAATCATTCATTGATGATGTTTCTGAACAGCAGTAACTCAATCTTAATTTATCTTTCGAATCAATGTAGGTCCGATAAATCATAGTATCAAAATCGATGATTAATATAGATTCGAATTACAGAACATCTGATCACATTGGGGAATTGAAAGATTAATGCAATTAGATTATTCTACTCACATGAATGCTTCTTAAAGCCAATTCAATTCAACCATCAACATCAATAATTGATCTTCAACTGAAATTACAAAATATCCATATTATTTATCTGTATATAGTGAATTCTCTTTTTATTTACCATTTATTAGTTTTCATTCATTTGTCGGTTTTAGGGTTTTCTTTTATACAAAAAAAAAAAAAAACAATTAAAAGCGTATTTAAATTTGGCCTTCAACAGGTGTCATATTTTGGTTGATGAAATAGCAATATTAATTAAATAAATAGGATATAATAAAAAATAAATAATCCTTTTTGGGTTGAGACAGATTTGTGGGTCAAAGCTTTGGGCGTATGGAGATTAAATATTTTAAGTTTGTCTGATTGATAATTTCGGTGAAAACGACATAAATTCACCTTGAGAGAGAAATAAAGAGAGAGCAAAAGCAGATTCCATTTCCATCTGTTTTTACATTCTCTATTTTTATAATATAATTCTTTTCTCTTCGCTTTTATACCAAGTACAGTTACCTGGACCATGTTTCTGTAAAATATAACTCACTCTACTTGCAATTGTATATTGTATAAAACATCATATTTACAGTATATATTCTCAGTTTTTGTATGGAAAATATATAATTGTAATGAAATTGGGGTGTTATTGTATGTGTTTATATATTCCTTACAATTTGGTGCAACTACATGTTATTAAGCCTTTGAGTTGAGACTTGAGACTCTTTTCATTTTCATACAGAAAGAGAGAGAGTGTGTGAAAAAGAGGGAGAGAGATGGAGCTGAGTCCACATGATTTCTTGGAGGAATTACTAGGTCCAAGGAGGGACACATGGGCTAGTTTTCCTCCTGGAATGAACGATCAGTTCTTCTCCAGTGGATGGAACTTTGATTCTCTTGATGAGAATCCAACTTTGGCTACTTCAAATCCTAATTCATTTCTGGGATTTTCATCTCCTCCACAACCAACCTTTGAGTGTAGTCCTTTTGTTGATCCTCAAGCCTGCTATTCTTTTGTTGATGGATTCACTATTCCGGAGATTGAATCATCTTCATTTATGAAGAATGAAACCTCTAGTGCATTCCCAGTTGCAGAAGATCAGCATTACCCTTCAATGGTGGAGAATGATGAGTTTGGTCTACTACTCAACACGGATCATGATCACCATTATAAAAGCTTGGAAGAAAGGAAGAGTACTAGCGGTGTTGAGATAGAACAACTTAATAACCTTCAGGTTTTCAACATGGGTTCATGTGCTGAGAAAAAGGGCAACAAGTCTAAGAGGCAAGAAGGACAGCCCTCAAAGAATCTCATGGCTGAAAGAAGGAGAAGAAAGCGCTTAAACGACCGTCTTTCCATGCTCAGATCAATAGTCCCCAAGATCAGCAAGGTAAATAAGAAATAACTAGCTTAAAGTTTTCAACTTTCTTTGATATTTCAAGTTTAATTGAGTTTGATTATTAATGGAAGAAAATGTGAATATTAATTTACAGATGGACAGGACATCTATACTTGGAGACACTATTGATTACATGAAAGAGCTACTTGAGAGGATCAATAAATTGCAGGAGGAGGAGCCAGAAGTTGGTACAAATCAAATCTTAGTTCCCAATAACTTCAAGGATGTAAAGCCAAATGAAACATCAGTGAGAAATTCCCCCAAGGTACGGTTTTTTTTTTTTTTTTCATATCAAAATCTTTGAAAAATTAACAGAATGTTTAATGACTAGTAATTGTCTCTAATTGTACAATGACTTGCAGTTTGAAGTGGATAGGAGAGAAATTGATACCCGGATAGAAATCTGCTGTGCACCCAAGCCCGGATTGCTGCTATCAACAGTGAGCACATTAGAAGCATTGGGGCTTGAGATTCAACAGTGTGTTATAAGTTGTTTCAATGACTTTTCAATGCAAGCTTCATGTTCAGAGGTAAGTTATTTTAATCTTAAATTGGTTGATATTATGTCAATCTTTATGTCTTTTAATGAATTTTTATGTCATTAATCTGATGCAGGTGGCTGAGCAGAGGACACTAATAACTTCTGAAGACATCAAGCAAGCATTGTTCAGAAATGCAGGCTATGGAGGAAGATGTCTGTAGAGGAAGAAAGAGAAGGAAAATAATTAAGTCTCTTCCCTTAAAAAATCCCCAAAAAGACTTATGTTTACCTCTATGTTTGTTCTTCTAGGAATTGTACAAGCAAGAATTTCTAATAATATTTAGTGTTTTAAATAAAAATTGTTCACCTATCAGATCCAGTTCCAGGATTATCCATTCCCAAATGGGGTATCTTTTAATACAAGAAATCAGTTATTCCTCCTCCACCAGTAGTCAAAGAAGGTAAGATTAAATAATAAAAAAGAATCTGGTTATGAATATATTTAATGATATGAGAATGTTTCTGGAATATCCCAGCAGAATTTAGGGGTTAATCAATGCTGTATTTATAAGCTTAAACAAATATTATTGGTGACCTTTTGCTACATCACATCTAACTACACCAATAATTGAAATTTAGGCTTGTGTAGGGACATGTTGCCCCTGAATCTAGACGTAATATCTGAAATATCATTGATAATTACACAGAAATCATGACAGCAACAAGAGATAGTTTATCTGCAGAGGGAAAAGCACCACAGTGTTTTGACGTCTTTTGCAGATTAAATATCATAAAGTATTGTAGACATTATAAGGAAGGAAAAAAAAAAAAAAAAACCCACATGGAGGCTACATGTACTTGTAAATTGGGTGAATTTCATATCATGAAGGAATTTATACGAAATTTTTTTATCAGCAATATTACTGACAAAGAGAAATTTCACTTTCAAGCAGTATTTTTATTCAGCTCAAAATGTCATGTTGAAACTGTTTATATTAGTGATATGACCCGTGCAAAATAAATTGAGGTAGAGAGAGTTCTAATGCAGATTCAATGTAATTTTATTAAACAACAAAAAAGAATTTGCCGAAATGGTTGAATCTTTGCATAAGATTTTGTTGTCTCTTTAGAACAGAATGACAAGAAGGCTTCTGCTCATTTAGAAAGCCAATCAACAGAAGAAATAGAGACAAATGAAGCTGTCATATCTGAAAGATGTGCCCCTAGAATTTGGTCATCGCTGATGGCAGCCATTGAAATGTTTAGTGGCTTGATGTATACAAAGTAAGCTAAACAATGACTGAAACTCAATATCCAGAATCCGTTTTCCCCAATAGGAGAAAGGTAAGGCATAAGTTGCATTCTGTGGCTCGGATTGTTAACATTTGCAGTATCAATAGTGGCACTTACTGCTATTTCTCATACGCATTACCGCCTTTTAAGAAAAGGTACTATCATTTATCTGAATTCAACTGTTAATAGGGAAAAAAATCTTAGGATGAACAAAAAATTTATTCTTGTATTTGCTACAGAGAGCAGTCGGGATGCTGCAGATTATCAACCAGAAATTCTGGCTTCTTCTCGAAGAGAACACTGAAGAGTCTAAGAGATGGTTTCAGGTTAACAAATAATGTATCAGCTCTTCACTGAGTTGCCTATAATAACTCGGGCTTTCTGTACAGTTTTGAGAAATATAAAGAATATCTACTTTGAGCACCACCAAGAAAGGAAAGAAAGCAACTGGGATTCGTTGCTCTCCAAAATTTATATATGCAATCTGAAAAGTTTACTCAGAGATCAACAGCATTGATTAAACAGATTATGATTATCAACTTAACTTATTGTTTGGATCAGGTTTCTGAATAATTTCAATTTGTAGTATTTTTTTTTTTTTTTAATAATTTGAATTAAACCAAACAAGGTGATCTTACACGCAACAAAAGGAATAAACAATCATTTAGTTGACAATTTTTTCTGAAAAACTATGATGTTAAGCATATAATTTTCAAAGTTCCATGACTTAGAGCCATAATCAATTATGTCAAATAAAATTGTTTTATTCTCTCATATAGCTAAAAGTATGTCTTTAAGAGGCTCAACGAGATGAGGAATTTAAGACTTCTGGAACTTCCACAATGATTCTTTAACCATGCAAATTTATAATGCGAAGATTCAAAATATGAATTTATCAAGATTCTCCAGGATGCTGACAGGAACATCTTGTTCTTGCCTATATTGTTGAAAATTATTACATGGTAATAAGAATAATACTATCTTGAACAAGAACGCAAGTCCAAAAGCTGAAATGTGTGCTAATGTTACCTGCTACCACAACTTCAAACACTATTCTTACTGCATGGCATTTAATTTTATAACAAAACAACAGTCTTGTAATGGTTATTCACATCTCAAATATAGGTAGCTGAATTTCAGTCAAACGTACAATAGTCATCACAAATCAATCCAAATCCCGATATATTAGACATTGCAAATGGATGTAAATACTATTAATTGTAAATTAGCAAAGAACATAAACAAAACTTGCAGGATTCACAATTTCATTTGAAAAAAGAAATTTACAACATATAGGACTTCTAATAATGGGTTAATGCTAAGCAAGCTATGATTTAGCATATAAAATAAATGCATGTTAAATGATACAGTTAAATGGAAGCAAAAAAATAGATCGTTAGAGTTCAGATTCACCTTCATCATCATCACAGCTAACACTATCACAATCAAAATCAAAAGATTCTCTCATGGTATTCGCCTGGAGATGTTGGAGTTGATTAATGGCATTTTGTGCATCAGTAACCATGGCAATTTTTGCTGCTCTGACAACATCAAATTCCAGACCAGGGATCCCCCTTTTATTCTCTTTCCCAGTAACGATTCGGTCTGCCCTTGCAGATGCAGCCTTTCTCTTAGCTTCCCGGTTTTGTAATTGGTCAATATACTTCTCGTGTAATGCAATGTTTTTGACCTGCTTCAATACCGGGGGACTAACCAGAGCTGTCCCACATGAACTACTAAATCTTGAAAGGGGCTTCTTCTGTCCAGAAGATCTCTCTTGGTATTTCTGAAGAAATTCCTGGTTTTTCTGTAAAAGCTTTGGGGTGGAAAGTAAACCATTCTGCCCACTAACTTTAACAGATGAACTAGTGTTGGGCTCAAGGACTGAGAATAGATCTGCTTCATAGTCTTTGTCTATATGACAATTCTTTTGTAACAAATTTCTGACTATTTTCTGAGTAAGATGACTCTTTTGTTTATTGCAACTTGACCTTTTAATCTTTGGTTGAATAGGTTTAAGCAGTTTACTCGCAGAGAGCGAAAATTGTTCAACGGGTGATGAGTTTCTTTTATTTGCTCTAGACTGAGGCCGAGGCTGAGTTGGGGTTAGATGTTCTGAGTGAACTTTATCAAAGCACTCTTGTGATGACTTTCCAGGCACCTGCAATTGATTTCAAATGACTATATAAGTTCACAGTTGATACTACGTCTAAAAGAAAAAAGAAAAAAAACCAAAAAAAACAAACACATTACATAAAGAATCTGCTTCTGCATGTAAAGTTACAAAATGCATCTAACCAAATAATAAGTTTCCTATGACACAATTCAAAGTGATATAAGATAAATCCAAATGGTATGAAACTTGAAAAAAAAATTCAACTCCATAATAGTCTCTTTTGCTTTAGGCAACTACAGCATTTGTCATAAATATATCTTGGTATGAAAAGTACCAATGTAGCTACATTTTAACATAGCTTTTTCTTTATCCCAGGGCTAGAAGAATGAGGGCTTCCAATGATATTGACAACTTCACCACAAGTTGGATGCTTGAACGAATTAATTTTTCACCTAGTATCCCACAGATTAGCTTTTTGGCTTTAAATTTTTTTAGGAATTATAACCTGATTGCAGACAGCTTCAAATCTAATAACTCATTTATAAGTGAGTTTCTTACTTAAAGTCCATTGACATTACCAGTGTGTCTCATTTGCTAAAAAACTGGGTTAATCTTGAAGAGAGACACAAAAAAAATAATAATAATAATAATTGTTAAAGCTAGAACAAAAAAAAACTGTTAAAGCAAGAAAAAAAAATTCAAGAATGCCAAATAGCAACTTTATAAACTAATGAAAAATCATGTTTCCACTTTGATTAACCTTGTTATAAGAACTTGAAGAGGTGCATTCACAAAACTAGAGTTAACTGGATGCTAATATCCAAACAAAATAAGGAAAAAAGCAACAAACATCGGTAACTTGTAACCAATTAGTGATATGGTACTCATGAAACAAGAGTACCAAACTTCTTTACACCCACTCATCAGGTTGAGTCTGCTTTAACTAAAAGCAGATATATCAAATAGAAAAGCACATAAGACCAAATTGCAAAGACCATTCAAATAACCCACTCTAGGCATGTTAGTTTCAATCCCGCAATTTCACTCTTGTGCAGATAAAAATCTAAACTCTTAAATGTAAAAAGCCATCAATAATACCAATGACTTAAATTCTCCACAGTCACCAATAAACTAACTTTTATGACATAAATAGCTCATGAAACATTTTGTTCAATATAGCTGAAGAAGCACATATTTATTCACTTTACTAATAATAATTCAATAGAAACATATTCATAAACCAACAGGAATGACGTTAAAGCACAATACCAGCTTAGAAACCTTCTTCCAGAAATGAGGAGTGGGCTTCGTAGCGAAATATGCTCTCTGCAATGCCACCTCTTGTTCTTTTGTCCACCCTTCAATTCTTATTTTACCACTCTTTTTACCTTCCTCGCCACACTTCCTTTCTCTCTTAACATTAATCTCTTCATTCTCTTCTCCAATTTCTCTGTCCTTCATCTTCATTCCTTCAGCTCTAAACGCCTTCAAACCCATTACAATACTGATCCTAGGCACCTCAATTTCCTCACACAATTTCACACCCACTTCACTTTTTCTCTTACGTTTCTTAAATTTGGCTGCACTGGACCTCTTCTTCGACTTTTCATTTCCACTCTTCTTGACAACTTGTTCAGCAATTGGGTTACTACAAAATCTTGGAGACCGCCTAAGACTCTGTGAAGAGACAACCCCGTCGTTCAATCTTGGAGGTTCTCTGGAACCACAACTCGGTCGACACGGTTCTTTTGAAGCTTTGATTTTGCGGGTCTGGGTTTTTGGTGTAGAATCCAATCTGGCCGAGCGTCGACGATTGTTTGTGAATTTGGGGTTCTGGGTGTTCGGATCTTGCGGTTGTGGCGGTGGGGTTTTATGAAGGTGAAGAAACCTGGCAGATCTACGGAGAGGGGTGTTGACAACGGAGGTTGAGTTGGTCATTTTTGAAAATGGTTGGTGGTGGGTTTTTGAGAGGGAAATGGAGTTAGGGTTTTAGTATTCAAAATTTGAAAGGAGATGAAGAAGAAGGTAAAGTATCCTTGGGAAGGAGGTTTGAGGCCCAATTCTTATTGCGCTAAGTAATGGGCTTCAACCAGCCCCGTCAAATTGATTATTATCCCTTATTTTTTATATGTAACAAGTTTAACCTTAAATAATCACTTCATAATTTTGAATATGTTCATTCTCTATTTTATATATTTTTTTTAATTTTTAAACTTTAATTTTTACATAAATCTTAAATCTAAATTCTCTAAATCATTGGAACTTTTTTTTTTTCAAATAATTCTCTATTTGACGAAAATATATTACTAATGCTATGACAAAATTAATCACACGATGGAATGAATTTGTATATGAATTTGAAGAAGAAAAAAGTTAGCTATAAATTTGAAATTGAGAAAAACATATATAAACAAAAAAACCTAATTAAGAAATTGGAGAAAAGTAGTTTAAACAAAAACCTTAACTAAGTTTGAAATTGGAGAAAATTAGTGTAATAAAAAAACCCTAATTAAGTTTGAAATTGGGAGAAAAATAATGCAAAAAAAAACCTTAGTTAAACAGGGTAGTAAATGGGATTTGAAAAGAATTTTTCAAAATATAATAGAGGTGTATTTTGCAACAAGGGATAGTGATCAATTTTATCCCTAGTCTTAGCGAAGGAAAATGGTGAAATTTCAATTCTTTTATTTATTTATTTAAATTCTACTCAATCTCTTTCCAAACCCCAATATCAATTAACATAATTTTAAAAAATAATTTAAAAATATATTATATTTTATTCCAAGATTACCGCTCTGTAATATTTTCTTCCTAAATATCTTTGTTAACTCCACTATTTATATTTTTTTTCTTGAATTATGTTTAAGCTACCATTTTTTTATACTGAATTTGAATCTAAATACATCCATTCAACAATATATTTCATCTTCAAAACCTTGTTGTCGGTTATCAAGCTTTTTCACGGTTTTTCTTTCACCAAGAAAATTGAGATGGGAAAAGATCAAACAAAACAAAAAATCTAGAAAAAAAATTCAAAACTTACTTTTTCATGATTATTGCTTCCATTGATTGAAATCATTTCCATCACTCTGAGTCTTTTATCTTAAAACACAATTCCAAACATATAAAAGGATTTAGGGTTTTAAAAAAAAGAGTATCTTTTTTTTTTTTTTTTTTGGTATAACAGGTTTAAAAAATATATTAATTTTTTAAAAACTACTATTAGAACTTAGAATGAGATAAGTAGGGTTTAAATAACACCATTCATTTTTTTTTCTTCTCGATTAACTTTGGAGTCACCCGAAAATATAGTTTTTGTTCCAAGTAGTGAACCTGATTTTAAATGTTTCTTTGTTCTTTTTTAATTTTATTTATTATAAATTTCATTTTCATTTATGTCTTTAACTTAGTTGAGGTGCACATAACTGGATCAAATACCCTCGGTCATTAAAAAAAAAAAAAAAATCGTTTTAGAGAGTTGAGTGATTGATATTTAGAAGGTGAGAAACTAAAACCATTGTATTTTCGTAGTTCTTTTTTATTACTGAAATTACGTCTTCCATGAACATAGTCATTCTCGATGAATCACGTAAAATCGTGTGTCACGTGTTGCGGTTGTTTATTTGCTTGATGGTTTTAACTTTTAATCTTTATGTCATTTTGGTTTACTAAGTCTATTCAAACAAGGTCTTGAAGATGTTTTTTGGGTCTGTTCCCACATATTCGATAAAAGTGTGGACAAATGCATACTAAGTTCATATTAGGTGTGACACCAAACACGTCTATTTCTTTTTAAATGGGAATTATAACAACCACCCCTTATAGTTTGATGATAGAGTTTGAGATATGATCTGTCTATATAAGGAACATAGACCCTTAAAACAAGAGATAGAGAGATTAATTTACAAAATTCTTCATTGATAACCATAATCTAGATTTAAGTTATTATATAGTCTTACACTTGACTTCAAATGACTCTAAAGGACTTAATTGCTTAATTCAAATCTAAAAAATATTCATCATAATTATAAAATGACAGTAGATTATCCTAATTTTATCCTAATAAGATAATAGTATATTATAAAAGATATGAAGGACTTAACATAATTATCCTAATTCTAAAATAATCATAACATTGGTCTAAGCAACACCGTACCTAAGGATTTTGGAGTTTCTAAATGTATAATTCCAATAAGAGTAGAGTAAATCTCAGGTTGAACTATAAGGGCTTCTACAGAAAATCTAATTTAGAATGAAACAAGATTCTCAGATGGTAGTACAAACAATTAACTGGTATCAAACCTCCTGTTTAAATCCCAATGTAAAGACTTCATCAACAGTATTCCCGAATAAATTCGTGGGCTGAAAAGTAAAACTTCATTCTACTCATAAACCAGTTGATAATTAGTGTTAAGTCGAGGACTGAGAAAAAGTCTGCTTCGTAATCTTGGTTTTCATGTAATTTTATAGCAAGAAATGTCTGATGCTTTCTATGCTAGATGACACTCTGGTTTATTGCAACGTGACATTTTAATCTTCAGCTGAATAGGTTTTAAGGAGTTTACTCACGAGAGTAAAAAGTTCAATGGATATTGAGTTTTATGGTCAGAGTGGATCAAAGCAATCTTTTGCAGACTTCTGGGGAATATGTCAAATGACAATGGATACTGGATACCATGTAAATGAACATACGGATAGAATGTCCTGCTGCATATGAAGTTAGCAAAATTATCATCTAACCAAATAAAAAGTTTCCCATGACAAGTTTCAAAGTGATAAATGCAAATGGTATGGAACTCTATAATATGTGAGTCGGCTTTGTTTATGGACACCAACACTACCATAAAAACTTTAGTACAATAAAGTACCAGTGTAGCTACACTTTAAAATCATCATAAAAAGGGGAAAAAAATGACAGACAACAGGATTAGCATACTTCTTTACACCCTCTGATCAAGTTAAGTGTGTGGTTTGGGTGAAGGCATATATAACAAATTATAAGGCTAATAAGACCATTCAAAAATAACCTACTCTTAGCATGTTAGGTTCAAACCCTGCAATTCATGTAAAAATCTAAACCCTAGAATACACAAAAAACCGTCTCCAATCGCCATAATCTAACTTTTAATTTTATTACATGGAATAAGGCATTAAACATTTTCTCAATAAGCTCCATTGACGCTTGAGTTTCAAGACTTACAAGTAATTAGACACTTTTCCTTATCGATTTTTAAGGTAACTTTATGTGTGTATCTAATAATTGGGTATTAGCGTAAGAAACAAGTGGAAAGTGCCCTCATTACGGAGAAGGCAACATAGGAAAGATTGTTAAGTTGTAACCCCCACCGTGTTGGCTTCAACAAAATCACCTAGCTAACTAGGTGAACGAATCATTGTAACTAAGGTTATAACCATTTAGGTATCTCTTTCGTAAATCGATTTTTGGGTGAATTATACCTGATATGTAGATAACAGTGTTCTGTTCTTGAGATATTATGGTTGAAAAGCCGACGGATCTACTGTGAGGTCAAGTGTGTTGATAATGGAATTTCTCTTAGACAATTTTGCAAATTTCGTTTTTGAGAGGGAAAGTGGATTTAGCACCAACTCTCAAAATATGCTTTAAATTTTCAATTTCAGATGATACCTCACATCATCCAAATTTCAATAAATCATTCCATTACCTACTATAAAAAAAGAAAAAAAAAAATAAAAAAATGCACTAACATTTAAATTTCCAGACTGGTGACAATGATTAACAGAGCTTTAAACCCTATCTGAAAAATAATGATATATGTATTTGAACTATATACAAGTCTACATTCATCTCATTTTCTCCCTTTCTAGGTCTTTGTTTGGAATATTAAAACATTACTTAAACTTGCTAAATATTTAGGTCACTTAAACCGTAAATAAAATTGGATTAAAATATGAAACTTATGTACCTAACTTTGCGATTGGCTCAACAACTGATATAATATCGAATCAATAATCTTACATTACTTTGGAGAATCTAATAACAACTAAACTATTAATAAATGAAAATCTTAGGTTATCTAATCCACCGTGTACCATTAAAAGAGGTTGAATATTATAAAATATAGACAAAAACCTAACTTATGTAACAGGATTTCCACTATAACTACTAATGTAACTAATCACATAGAAACAAGGATTAAACATTAATTGATTGTTGTTGTGGCTTATATAGCTCACTACATCAACGTCACTGAATCCACTTCAATCTTCTTCAGGTTATTTCTTTTTTCAATATAATCATAACAATGTCTTTAAATATTAAATGCAAATTAAAATAATGCATATATAGGGTTGAAATTCAATAACCCCATCTTTTTACACAAGTTTTGACACAAAATTTGAACATAGATTGTGTATTCAAACAGTTGAGGTTATATCTAAATATCAAAGTGTATAAATCTGAGGTCCTAGATTAATAATTGATTCAAGGTTAATCGAATTCAAAATCTTTTAATAATAAGTATAGAATTCTGACAAACTATCCACTATTTGATCCAATTCCTTTAAATTGTATCATATTTTATATATTTATTATTTGGCTTTTAAAATCCGTGTAGAGCATCTTCTTAACGACATCAAGGCTTGGGCGTCAAATCATTAATATTAAAATAATACAATTTGAAGAATGGATTTTGATTCGAGAAAGATTGGCAATTTCAATGGAATGTGTTGAAGATGCTAGACGGTAAGAATAAGATCAAACAAAAATCCACTTTATTTGGTGAAGAGATAGAAAAAATAAATAAAAATAAAATGTTACATCATGAACACTGTTGGATAAGAGCAATAAGAAAGCACTAGCAAATGTGTTTGACCCCATGTGATGAAAAGGGTCCCTTTTTTACACTGCTTATCATCCGTACGTTTTAACATCTTAATTTAATTAATTTAAACTTCATTTTTTATAATATTCAACAAGATGGGGCCACTTTTGCTTTTAGGCGGGCCCTGCAGACGGTGTGTTGTATACAATGACAAATTACAAGTTTGGCAGTTGGGTGTTGAGATCATAAATTATGTTTAGAATAAAGTTTGAATAAAATATTTCCATAATTTTGATGGAGTTTTCATCTGATTTTATTATGTTCAAAAATCCCATATATTATTATTGTTATTATTATAAAACCATTTCTCACAATAATCTTAAACTTGAAAATTTAACATAAATATTCTGAATGTTGGCAATTAAATGTTAAACGTTGATGTACTATTACCAAATTATCAAATTATCTACACAAAAATACATCTTTGGGCAGGGAGGTAACCACACTATAATATATGGGTTCAATTGAACCCACTCAAACTTTGAAAAAAAATACAAAAAGACTATGTATTTTATAAACAATTTTGACCCTAATTAAATTCATATTGCCCTTACAAAATTTTATTATAAATTTATTAATTTAAATATTTTGAACCCACTCATTAAAAATCTTAGCTACATCCTTGTTTCTAGTTCTAAGCGTGTAAGTGTTTTTATTACCTAAACTCTTTATTAAAAATAGTTTATTCATAAAAACAAGAGTCCAACAGACTCTTTATTCTTTAAATATAAATTAAAAAATGAGTTTGACTTTCTGCATCAATAGAGTCAAATTTTACTCTCTATCTTAATTTTAATTAATAAATTATAAGTTTTTATGTATTTTATTTTTTTATTTTCTCTCTTTTTAAATATGTTTCTACGCATTGCTCTCCACGTCTACAGAGTATTAAATTTGAATAAAAAAATTATTCTTTATATTTACAAATTAATGAAGATGTTTTTTATTTATATTAAAAGTACTCTTTAAAATAAAGAATACTATTGAATATGCTCCAAGAAATTTTAATCATTTTATCTCCGTTGCATTTCTACGAGCTTCATTAAGAAAATTCATAATGTTTGCTGGATACACAAAATTATAACACAGGAATTACCATCTTCCAACTTCCATCCCTATAACACAGGAATTACCATCTTCCAACTTCCATCCCTAAACTCATCTACTTCAAAGTTTCATTACAAAATTTTAACGGGTGATCATTGAGGTATTTGATTTATCATTTTTATTTTTGCTTCATTGAAATGTGGGATATGTTCGTTTTAAATATTTTTCTGTTTTTTATTTAATATGGGCACCCTAAAGATCCAAAGCTGGATATTGAAGATGGAGCGTGGGGACTATGGAGCGTGGGGAGAGTATTACAGAGGAGAAGACAGAGACATAAAGGACGAATGGTCAATCAAATCAAATCAAATTGGAAAAATAAGAAACTAAAAAACAATAAAAATCAAATCAAATCATAATCACGGATGAGTACAAAGTGGTGGTACTGGGGAAGGTGTTGGTTAGTGGGTTGAACAGTGAAATTAGGTCATGAAAAAAGATGATCTATTGTTATTATTATTTTTGAAGTTTTCTCATTGTGGGGGATTTATGTTTTCCTTCCACTTTTCTGTGACGTCAAAAGGCATTCATCGTATCTTGAAAAATTCTAATTCTATTTCTATTTCCTTTTTTCGCATCATTTTCGTTTGCATTTGAATTTAAACGTGTTCTACCCGACTCTTTCTTCTTTATTAAATTCTCTTTGTTAGATTTCATATAATCATCAATCAACTCAACCCAAATAAACTCCTCAAATCAAAAAAATATTTATTAAATTATTTTTCTCACATCCTAAAAATTTAGATTCACGTTTATCTAATCTTTAAAGGATTTAACAATTCGTAAAGTTTACCATCTAAGTGTTATAATCCTTTGTATAAACTATAAAATATGAAGTTTTAAATCCTATTTAAACATCAAAACATAATAAACAAAGAATTCTGATATGTGTTATCAAAAAAAAAATTACAAAAGAAAAAAAAAACTCTCTAATTCTAAAGCAATTACAACTCAATTTACTGATGCGCATTTATTTAAGTTCAACTAAGTTTTTTAAATTTTCCTGAGTTTTTGAGTTAATTTTTACTCAATTGATAATTTCAAAACCTTGAAAGATAAGTTAAGCCGTAAGTTAAGCCGTATGCAAATTGATTAGGATACTTTCGAGGAAAAAGAAAAAAAGAAAATTAGTGACGATGCAAAGATAAAACTTTTCATTTCTACTCTTTCTTTTCCTTCTTCTTCTTTCTTCATCTTCCTTTAAAGCAAATATGTACTGGGTGTGTGTCTCAATAACTACCAATGATGCAAAGAGAGTAGCAAATCTTTAGGGAATTCCTTAAAGATTTGCCACTCTCAATTAGGACATGGCAGACCTCGACGTTAAGTGGGTTATGTGTAAACAAACCTTTTCTTTTTTATTTGCTCCTTGAATGAGATTAATTAATTTACGCCAATAGTTTTCTGGTTCAAGAAAAGTAGTCACTCAAAAACCCATTAAAGTTTTAATGCACTAATAATCAACCATCATTAGCTTGCCAAAATTTCGCTTGACTTGTAAGCCAAATAACAGTGTAAAACATTAAAAATTAAGGAGTAGGGCTGTCTTATTAGGACACTTACCTAATTTGAATTACCACTGCCTTATCTTAAGATTTGTTCATTAATTGGCCAATCGTCATTCCATAAACAATATTCAGATTAATTAGTTTGACAGCGATTTGAGATCGACCCTTTGGTTAATCAATGTCATATTAACATTTCTCTTTCAAAAAGTAATTGGTTGTTGGTGTAATTTAATATGACCCCCGGCTGCAAAATTTACGGAGGCCAACTTTCTTTAACAAAACAGAGAGAAAATATTTTATATTTTTCTGTAATATGGACATGAAATGATGCAGCTGCCTCCCAAATATTACTACTGAGTTACAGAAGGTTTCTGCATATTGTTATCAAAGATTTTTTTTTTTTCTTCCATTCCCAGGTTCAAATTTGCTGTTTCTCAGTTGTCCCTGAGACATTACATGTTTATACTGATAAACTTAGATGATGAAAACAAATTGTAATATTTTACAAAATGACTTGTGATTCTTATATACTGGGGAAAGGTAAAAATGATGGTAAAACTAGATTTATAACTAAATGAAATTGTATATACATCAAATGATCAATCTTACAAATGCTAATACAAAGGCACTGGAAAACGTGGCAACTTCGGCGGCTTCTGCACTTTGACAACAATATTTTCTGCTCGAGGAGGCTGACAGGGACATGGTAAAGCTATAAACTTTGGGACCTGATCTCCTGGCATTAGTACTGGCAAACTCTGGCTCTGGTTTTTCTTCACATTCTAGAAACACAAAACAATTTAGTGTTAGGTCAATAGTTTAACTTTCTGGGTTATTTTTCTCAAGAGATTATGTTTAAAAAAAAAAAAAAAAAAAAAGGACCCTTAAACGAGAGCGGAAAATTACCATGTCTGCAGGTTTAGATTTGGAGGGTGAGCCTTCAATGTCAGGGTGAGGATTCATGTCGTCGGAGAAAGATCGACGGAGGGATCTAAGTTTGTCCCAGTGGTAGCAGCAGGAGAAGATGCCGCTTAAGCTGAATATGATAATCAAAAGGAGGGCAGTGCCAAGAGGGAATCCTAGAGAGGGGCGAGAGGGGTCTCCTCCGTGGGATGGTGAAAAATTCGGACTCTCCATCATACACAACAAACCTGCAACAATTCTGCCTTGATGAATACCCTCTTCCTTCTCTCATATGTTGTGCAAAGAGAAATAGAGAAAGAAAATTAGAAGGAAAAGTAACTGAAGGAAAAAAGCTGAAGAGTGAGTGAATGAATGTTAATGGGGGCAAATGGAGAAGGGAATTGGGGTAATTTATAAAAGGAATGGAGACTGGATTATAGGTACGTGTAAAGGTACAGGTTAATGCCCTGAAGTCCGGGCCCTAGTACGGAAGGAGTAGGGCCGGTTTTGTTGGGTGGAAAGCATGAAGAAAAGCTTTGATTTGCTTGCTTGTTTTGTTAGGAATCAAAGAATGGAGAAACCGAGAAAGAGATGATAAAAATATGGTCACGAGAAGGCAATTTGAGTGCATAAATGTGAACAGAACATGGAAACTGGACAGTGGTTATTAGCTGTCATGTTCCATTTGGTTGTAAGGCTGCTCTTTCTTTTATTATGGATTATGGCCCCTACTATTATATGCTTTCATGTATTTCTACTCCTTGTGTTACAAGCATTAATTTCCAATTGGTTTTGGTTTACCCATTTCTACTTTTGGCTCTTAGAACACTCAACAGAACTATTTCAATTCGTCATAATCCAATAGGTTAGGTATTACTTTGAAAAGGAAGAAGAGCAGAGCGCTTTAGTTTCCCTAGATGGTTTTAATGCTCCTCTAAGGAGGAAGGAGATTGAAAGATGGAGTTGAGATGGGCCAATGGGGGATTGGCCTTTTGAGCTCCTAAAGCTAAAGGACAAGAGATGAAACACAGCACTCAACTATAAACAGAAAAAGGGGAAAAGTAAAATCAACAGATTTTCCTAGTGTTTTTAATTTAGTGGTTTCTTTAAAGCAGAAGAAAGGACCGAAATATTAGAAAAAAACTGACCCAAGTTACAGAAGTAGGCGGCTAAAATACAAGACAGCAAGGCAATGGTGTTGATAGCTTAGAAGACATGTCGTGTGGAATTCAAATTTTAATCACTTAGGAAAGGTTTCACTTCTTTTTTGACTTAAAACACATTTCCCACCAGAAACAATTGAAAAATGATTCAATTAATTGGCATGTTTTTTTAATTCATTTTGTGGACCTGTTTCTTTGAAACTGACTAATTTGCATCATCACAATATTTTCCCAGAAAAGAAGAAAAAAGATATTTAACTGTGAAAACATGTGTGGTTGCTGGATTCAATTTACAGGATTCGGGTAGCTATTAGTTAAAGTAGTACGTACTGGTCCTGTACGAGTCTCAGAATCAGGTCATTGCTGACTGTAAGAAGGCGAGACATATCTATTTGCAGGTCATTTTCATCAATTTTTTAAATGGGCTAATAGTGTTCTTATCATCCATGACTATGGACACTGTCACACTAGCTTGCTTCCCAACAAGGGTATATATAAATATCCTTTTGGCCATCTCATTCCCTAGTCCCTACTCAGATGTGCAACTTCTTGGTAGTTTCTTTTGGATATTATCCAGTAAAGGAAATGCCAGCGTTGACCCATGATAGAAGTAGAGATTGAGGATGAGCTGTAAAAACAGCTATTCTGTGTGCGCACATATATTTTTAATAATTTGCTGAAATTCAATAATATTATACAATAAATATATTTTTAAATATAACTTTTACAGGGGTGAAATTTAATATATTTTTACAAAATTTTAAATGTAATTTAACATAAATTTTTAATATATGTGAGTAGGTTCTAGTTCTAGAAATCAGGAACAAGCCGGTTTTGGTTCCAGTTCCAATTCCACCCTTGCAAGAACCGGGAACTAAAACCAAAACCAAGATCTGGGTACCCGGGTAGGAATCGAGACTGAATTGTAATTTTTAAAGGGTTTATTTGTCATTTTTAAAAAAATAGAAGATAATTAAAATAAATCCGAATACTCGGACCGGAACCAGAACCTATGTTTTAGGTTCAAGTTCTAGTTCATGGCTTCTCGATTCCAAATCTAAGGAATCGGTTGGTTCTGGTTTCGGTTCTAGATCCTTTGAATTTGGACCCCTAATGCTAATGTATTTGGCAAAGCGGTTAGTCACTTCATTTTATAATTTTAGGTCAAGGGTTTGAACCATTCAAATAACATGGGTAAATTTTGAGAGTATCAATGTCAATAACCCTTATGTTATAGCATATGTGTAGATTACAATCAGCCTGTAGTTGTATGAAATATCTTTAAGAATCCTAATTGAGTCTTATGTCACTAAGGGATGTCTTGACATGTGGATTAATATCTTTCTTTACAAACCAGTTTTAAAAGTGAATTCTACCCCTTTGGTATCAAGTCCAGCCAAGTTAATGCATTGTTATCTTTTCATCAATTGCTCTTGGGACCCTTATCTATTACTTTTGTCACTTACTGTATCTTAAAGTTATGATTTCTGAGTCTGTCAGTGCCTGATAGTTTCCAACTACAATCTGAGTTTCAAAGTGGTGAAAAAATCTGCAAATAATATCTCAACTTAATGTTGAGAACAGTTGTTAGACATTAAAGCAGCACAAAGTCAGAGGTATTTATCAATTTATCTGCAGAATCAACATGTTCATAAGTGCGCATTTTTAATATCTGATTCATTAACTCTCTACACCAAATATGAAGCTTGGGGGGGATTAGATTATCTTTTTCATTATGGAAAATCCAGTATAGATTGAACATCTCTTTCCATTCTGTACCTACTACCTACATGTTGGATATGGATAAGAAACTTCTGATAGCTTTTTACAAGTAAACCTAAGCTTAGTAATTATTAATGGGTCGTGCCTTTTCAATTCCTTGGATAATTTCACACTAACCTATCATTATATAAGATACAGGCAGCTAAAGCAAAGACGTTGCCGTCTCAAATTTGAGAAAAAGTAATACTATGTTTATAAAGAAATTTTATAAAAAATTTCATACAAAGTTTAGGATTTAAGGTTTAGGGTTTTACCACCTCACTTTGTATGGAAATCCTTGTAAGATTTCTTTAGAAGTATAATATTATTGTTTGAAAAATGCCGATAAGTTCAAATCAAGCAATTCTAATGGCATTTGTGCAGCCTTTATAAAGTAACTTCAGTTTAGAGAACTCTTTTCTTTTTCTTTCTTTCTTCTTCAACTCTTGGAAAAGCTCCAAGCTGTCTAAGCCAAACACCAAAAGTATATAGCACTAATTTGTGCATGTTATGTTAGGGAAAAACGGTATATTGTTCTAAGATTTGGTGTAGCAATGACTGTGGGATCGATTGGGCAAAGCTAAAGCAATAAATTATTAAATTTCACATAAGGTTCCCAATACATTGTGTTGTAGCCCCCATTGATTGGATTTCAAGTTGAGTGCGAACGCTTTCTACCTAAGAAATATGAGCAGATGTTTTCAATTCCCCAGCTGGTGAGTTTAGAACCACACATTAATTAAGAGATTATTGGGAGACAAGAGTAGTGGTGACTGGATCCCAATTGGATTAGACATTTCAACAATTTATACTGATTACACCCCTTAATCTATGGTGTTTTTTTTTTTTAATTATAATTTGTATTTAAAACGTATTAATTAAGCCAATAAAACATGGGCCAGCCCATACGAAAAGACTATTCTTGCAACAAACTGAGCTAATGCTTGTTTACGGTGATGCATTAATTAGTGGTTAGAATGAAAAATTATAGTGCTAATTAGTGACAAAATCAATGTGTCAATATATTAATGAAAAGCAATTCACGATAAAAGTCAATGATGTTTGACTTAGAAAAAATTGACTGAAGATTAACCAAAGATAAATATTCTGATAAAACAATGATTTTTTTTTTTTCAAGATAAAGTCAAACTATATTTAAGAATAAGCATATGACTATCAATCAAACCGTTAGGGTGCATTTGGTTATGGGAATATTGTGTTACTGTGAATATTACATTAATAGAAAGATAGAGTATTTTGAAGATTATTGAGAATATTTGGGAAAATGTATTTGGTTAGGTTAGAATAAATTGGCTAGTATGTTATATTAATATGTTTGGTTAGAAGGAATAAATTAATAGATATGTTATATAATTTACTACATTGCCTTCCTTTTTAAATATTAATATAATATTATTTTGATTATTACTATTTTAATCATTTCTTAACCCCCTATATTTCAGATTTAGTTAAAACAGCCTAACAATCAAAAAGGTTTAAAATTTAACAAAAACACCCCACTCACCCCCAAACTGCTGCTGGCCGCCTGCCACCGCATGTAAAGAGAGTGATTTAAAATTGAACTTTGTTTCTCAAGGCAAGAATTTGGTCTTATTCTGACAGCATTTGGGCCCATTCAATAATGGATCTAAAACCTATCTCGTTTCTCATATGTACCATCCTGCCGGGTTGCGCTTTGTTTACTTGGCGTCCATTTTTTGTATATAAATTAATTTTACTTATGAATAATGAAAAGAAAATAAAAAGTTAAATATTAAAATTTAAATTAACAAATAAGTGAATAACAATCAAAGGTACTTTCAAGTTATTTTTTAAAGGTTTTTGTATCATAAGGTATTATATTGACAGTTAACCTTTAGGGCCAATTAAAATTTGGGGTGCCCATTTAAATAATTGCATATTTATGAACAGTAATATAGGGTCCATGGTAATTGTTAAGAATAAAACTAGCTCTAAATAATGAGCCATAAGTTAGTAATATTGTTATTTCAAATCTACAAATTTTATAACTATACCAAGAATAATGTGACTATATATTAGTTATGTTGGGCCCAACTTTAAGCCCAATAACTCAACTTAATGGTTTCTTTTCTCTACTAGAGTTGAAATACCAAATTAGATAACTGTATTCAAAACTAGCTTTACAACTTGTAAAGTGGAAAACGGTAGAGAAAAATAGATTGCAGTACACGTACACGTCTCGTCACACGTGAGCAAACAGAGGCAAACAGCGTGCTAGTCTGCTAGATTGACCTTGATTTGCCAAGTCTAAACATTGATGTCACAAGCCCCTTTGGCTGTCATTAAAGAACCTAAACGTGTCATCTCCTGGATGGTAACAAATCCAAATCCAAAGACGCTTCGGAAAAATACACAGAGCAGAAGGTTAAAACTGAAATGATTTTTTTTATCGTGGTTGAAATATGATAACCATGGTTAGGCGATTTAGTTAAGTCTACAGTCAGCGGTAAAAATGGAGGTTGTCTCATGTCTGTCATTGACTCATTGGGTCCCTTTGTCGTGGCACAGCCCCGCAAAACCTGTGGCGGCATAGTAAAGTTGGCCATTTATTTATTTACTTAAAATAATTGTAGTCACCGTCACTTTCCCTTCGTATTTCAACACGTC